ATACTTCCAGTGTATTAAAGTGCTCCAAATACACATTGTTATACCGTACACTTCTCTGATGACAAAATTATTGTATAGAAAAGCCTGGCTGGATTTCGGGCTATATTTATACACACGCACGCGCGCTTATGAATGGTTGTCTTGACACAAATAAGTGAAATCATTACAGTGGTACCAGCTTTCCAATTATGATTAGCATTAATTAGAGGCTAAATCTGACACCACTGCTGGACAACACAAGCTGCTTTTGTGTTCGACATTTTTAAACCAAATAATGACACAGATCCCGTGCGGCCTGGTGGCGAGACCCGCGTTCGATTCCTTGCACGAGAAGCAACTGATTTTATAAATTGCATAATTTCCTTGCTTTGAATAGCCTGGGCTTCATTTGATTTCCATCTTGCTTGCTCGTTTGGCTCAGCGTTGTTTGCACAATTAATTCCGAATTACTGTTCAGACGAAAGCAATCTGAAAAAGGCGGTAAAGTGATCGATCGGCATGGAAAGATAAAGTGTTTGTCTGAATGTGTGTATGTGTTTTCTTTACTACGTTAATGTGACCCTGTAAATATATGCTTTATAGAAGAAGACTTCTGCATTTAGCTTAGATGAAAGACGTTTGTAAACCATTGAAATATGAAAACGAGGAATAGGTTTAGTGAATAATAAGAAATAATTGCACCAGTAACCATTATTACTAAGGCAATAGGAGTAACTGATGCAATCATAGAAAAAAATCGATTGGTTTTGCAATCCGTAGAGACGGATGCCGTAAATGCTGCTCTTAAGATAAACTTGGATCTGTTGAAGCAATTTCTCTAAAGAGTAAAGTTCAATAGCATCAAAATTTAGCTTAGATTTTTGAAATTCTACCAACAACACTACCAACCTTTTAACCAAAAGTTTGATAAAAATAATAATAATAAATAAATAAATAATAAATAAATAAAATAGATAAAAATAGTTACTTTCCTCGACCAAGCAACGTAGATTCCGTGGCGTGTACCGCGGGGTCGATGCTGTACCTTCCTATTGTACTCCTGGAAAATTCTTCAGCAGGCATGGAAAGATTTTTTGTCGGCTCTAAGGTTGCATCCATACTAATGCTTTGACAACTCGGATAAATAAATTTACTTCACATTTACGCAGGTCAGACTGTCTCATCTAATAGGTGTAAAATAAAATACGAGACCCACACAATTTCACAAGTAAGCACAGACTCGCAGTTGCATCCAGAAACTTTTCCAAACTATGCTAATCTTACCACTGATTTCATTTTGTTTTCGTTATTTATGTTCTATCTCACGAATGATAGTGATCTGTGTGAGTAAACACCTTGGAAATAGAAACCCAACCAAGGTATGATAAAAAATAAATTATAAAATCATCTGCTCTATGTCCCGTGCCGAGAATCGAACCCGGGACTCGTGGCTGGTAGCCACGTGTCCTATCCACTAGACCACACTGGATTTACTTACAATGGAAGGTTGTGCTTATATTATTTAACCTGTGATCAGAAGTGATATCAGATCCCACGACTTGTTCGTTGGGGGGGGGGGAGAGGTGCCATAATCGTTTTTCATGTCTACTGTGTTTTATATAACTGAGATCTAAACAATAAATCCTCGTTTTTTATGTTTTTGTATATCATTGGTTTGCAAATGTCTACATTAATCTGGTGTGAGACAAGCGCACTACGGGGACAGTGAAACGTTCCGACTGCAGCAAAAAACATTTAGCCATTCGCGGAATATGATGGACTGTTCCAGCGATTGCGTTCTTGTTCTTGTTCTCATGGAAGATGGAAAAGGAAGTGAGGTAGAGTGCACTGCAGCAAACGACGTGGTTCTCTGTGCAGACGAGGCTTCAATGCTGAGCGATCTAGTGGCTGGTGCGGGAGGGAGGATGTAGAAAGAATAAATAACACGGTATTATCACAGTGTTATCGGTAAGATGTTCTATTTTGATGATTAGAAAACGGTAACCTCGCAATATTTTAGGAAGAGAGGAGGTATTACATATTTTTAAGTTATGACATGGGGGGGGGGGGGGTGACGCCGCGTATCAAGCCTCCAAACAAAAGTAACATCAGGATTTTAGGTCATATTTTCTTTTTGCTTGTCTATTCTTTTGAAAGGAGAGGGAGTGAAAGAGGCGGGAGGGGCGAGACATAAAAAAAAAAATATTCGAAAGAATAGAACATTGTGGTGTGTGGCAACTTTAGTGACAGCTTCAAGACTCCCCGTGCTTCTCCCGAAATTCCGATTGGCTCTGTAGCGGTGGCACTGTAGAGACGGATCTCGTAAATGCTGCTCTTAAGATTAACTTGGATCTGCAGAAGTAATTTCTCTAGAGTAAGGTTTGGTAAAAAGAAGTAAATAATAAAGTTACTTAGCTCGACCAAGCAACGTTGTTTCCGTGGGGCGTACCGCGGGGTCGATGCTGTGCCTCCTACTGTACTTTCGGCAAATTCTTCCGTAGACATGGAAAAGGTTTGTGTCGGCTCTAGTGTCACATCCATGCTAATGCTTTGACAACATGGAAACAAAGGTCTTTCTCAGGAATTTAGAAAGATGTTTAACATGATAATTAACTTCTGAGACTTTCCTTATTTTAGCACACGATATAATAGTCGTAGTAAGTCCATATTACGAATTTATCAAAATGTTTCACTATTTTCTTCACATTTACACAAATCAAACTGTAATATAATACATATCAAGTAAAAGCATGCAATACAAGCTGTGCTAATCTCACCACTGATTTTTTTTTTTTTTCTTTTGTTTCATCCTTCGAATAATAATGATGCATAAGTAAGCAACTTGGAAATAGAAACACAACCAAGGTAAGATATAAGACATAACATAAAAAAAGATTTCCCGCGCCGGGAATCGAACCCGGGCCTCGCGGGTGAGACCGCGTATCCTAGCCACTGGACCACACTGGATTCTTAAAGAAATAAGATTGTGCTTATAAAAACATAAACATGATCAGTAATGGTATCGGATCACATGATTTGTTAGATGGTGGGGGGGGGAGTGCCATAATCTCTCCACCATTGATCCTTGTCAGAAAAATTCTTTCCTTTTGCCCATTTGATCGTCAAATTAGATGTGCTACATCCTCCAAAGCTATTTCGAAACAGCGAACTGCGCCTCCAAAGGCTCTTTCTGTTGCCAATTTCTTTCCTCGAGAAATACCAGAAAGAATTTACAAGTCTGCAGTTGAGAAATTCGAGGTCTGCATCCCGCCATTAACACAAAATAACTTTTGGCAGACTTCATTTTCAATAAAACTGATGCTTTAATCTACACACATTCAGCGGAAACAGAGTTGCTATTGTAAAATCGCCATTCCTCCCTTCTTTATTTCGGTGTGGTTCCTCTTGTCGTTCCCTTTCTTCCAACTTCGTTAATGGGTTAGCATCGTTTGTGTTCTAACGTTCATAAAAGTCACCGACGAAGTGCTAAACAGAGAGTATTAAATCAACTTTACAAATCTTAACGGAGTGTACAGAAAAACCTGGCTGGATTTAGGGTTACATTTACAGACACGCACGCATATGAATGTTTGTCTGACACAAGTACGGGAAACATGTAGAAGCATATTAAGATTTATTATAATTACTGCGGCACCACCTTTTTGCATATGATTAGCATCAATCAGAGACTAAATCTGACACCACTGTTGGACAACACAAGCTGCTTTAAACCAAATAATAATACTTATTTAAACCAAATAATAATACTATTTAAACCTTATTTAAACCTATAATTTAAAACCAAATAATAATACTTATTTAAACCAAATAATAATACTTATTTAAACCAAATAATTAATTTAAACCAAATAATAATACTTATTTAAACCAAATAATAATACAGATATGTGGCCTGTGGCGACCGCGTTCGATTCCTTGCACGAGAAGCAACGGATTTTAGAAATTGCATAATTTCCTTGCTTTGAATAGCCTGGGCTTCATTTGATTTCCATCTTGCTTGCTCGTTTGGCTCAGCGTTGTTTGCACAATTAATTCCGAATTACTGTTCAGACAAAAACAATCTGAAAAAGGCGGTAAAGTGATCGATCGGCATGGAAAGATAAAGTGTTTGTCTGTGAATGTGTTCGTGTGTTCTTTACTACGTTAATGTGACCCTGTAAATATAATATATGCATCAAAGAAGGAACACTTATGCATTTAGCTTAGATGAAAGAAATGTGGAAACAAAGAATATATGCGAAAGAGATATTTATGAAACATTTACTATATTTTAGTTACATATTAAAACTAATGTCTCTATCTAAAGTGATATGTATGCATTTATCGAAACAGGCTTATCCATTTGGGAAATAGAAACTAAATGCACACGAAAAAAAAATCATAATTTAGAAGAAACGGTAATTCCGACCATGGCAAAAATAACCTTAAGGATATAGAAGCTTAGTGAATAATAAACAATAATTGACAGGCTTAGTGAATGATAAGAAATAATTGCAATCCATGGAAAAAAGCCGTAAATGTTGTCCTTAAGATTAAATTGGATCTGCTGAAGCAATTTCTCTAAAGAGCAAAGTTTAATAGCATCAAAATTTAGCTTAGACACCTCAGGTAAAATTTGAATAACTTTAGTTATTCTGCCAACCAAACAACCAACCTTTTTACCAAAAGTTTAATAAAGCAAATAGATAAGGAAATAGATTATACTAAAAAGTAGAATAAAAATAAAGTTACTTGGCAACGTTGTTTCCGTGGGGCGTACCGCGGAGCTGATGCTGTACCTTCCTGTTGTACTTTCGATAAACTTTACCACTATTCAGCAGACATGCTAAGTTTTTTGTCTGCTCTGGTGTTACATCCATGCTAATGCTTTGACAAGGCGGATGAATAGGTCTGTGTCAGGATTTTGGAAAGATGTTTAACATGATACTCAACTTCTGACAGACTTTCCTTATTTTAGCACAGGACATAATAGTCATAGTAATCCCATGTCACGCCTTTTATCAAAAGGTTTCACAATTATCTTCACATTTACGCAGGTCAGACTTTCTCATCTAATAGATATAAAGTAAATGCATACGAGACCCACACAATTTCACAAGTAAGCACAGACTCGCAGTTGCATCCTGAAACTTTTCCAAACTATGCTAATCTTACCACTGATTTCAGTCTTTTGTTTTCGTTATTTATGTTTTATCTTTGAATGATAGTGAGCTACGTGAGTAAACAACTTGGAAATAGAAACCCAACCAAGGTAAGATATAAAATAGATTATAAAAAGATTTCCAAATGTCCCGTGCCGGGAATTGAACCCGGGATTCGCGGCTGAGAGCCACGTGTCCTATCCATTAGACCACACTGGATTTACTTTGAAGGTTGTGCTTATGATATCATTTAACCTGTGATCAGAAGTGATATCAGATCCCACGACTTGTTAGATGGGGGGGAGGGGGAGAGGTGCCATAATCTCTCCACCATTGATCCTTATCGGAAAATTTCTTCCTTCGTTTGCCCATTTTAGCGTCAAATTAGATGTGCTACATCCTTCAAAGCTATTTTCAGACAGCGAACTGCGTTTCATAATGCTCTTTCTCTTAGCATATTTCCTTCCCTCTTCGAGAATTAGGAGAAACAATTTAGAAATCTCCAGTTGAAAAATTCGAGGTCTGGCCCTGGCACCCCCCCCCCCCCAAACTATTTACCATATTCTGTTTCGTAATGCCCGAGGTTCTCAGCCAATCCGATGCCAAATAGCTAAGAAATTATTGCATATTTCTAGGGCGGAGGATAGGGACCTCATTACTCTTTTTATTCCACCCCAATTGGTCTTGATTTTGTTATTAATATTATTTTCGTGAAGTTTGGGTAACAATTAATTTACTTCTTAACGCCTGCACTCCATAGCTTACAAAAATAATTGCCCATTAAATTAATATAGTTAATCATCCATTTATATTTTTTACCATTTTTCATGTCTACAGTGTTTTATATAACTGAGATCTAAACATAATAAATCCTCGTTTTTATGTTTTTGTATTTCATTGGTTTGCAAATGTCTACATTAATCTGGTATGAGACAAGCGCACTTCGGGGACAGTGAAACGTTCCGACTGCAGCAAAAAACATTTAGCCATTCGCGGAATATGATGGACTGTTCCAGCGATTGCGTTCTTGTTCTTGTTCTCATGGAAGATGGAAAAGGAAGTGAGGCAGAGTGCACTGCAGCAAACGATGTGGTTCTCTGTGCAGACGAGGCTTCAATGCTGAGCGATCTAGTGGCTGGTGCGGGAGGGAGGACGTAGAAAGAATAAATAGCACGGTATTATCACAGTGTTATCGGTAAGATGTTCTATTTTGATGATTAGAAAACGGTAACCTCGCAATATTTTAGGAAGAGAGGAGGTATTACATATTTTTAAGTTATGACATGGGGGGGGGGACGCCGCGTATCCAAGCCTATAGACAAAAGTA